GATATAGGTCCAGGTCCAGATATAGGTCCAGGTCCTGATATAGGTCCAGGTCCAGATATAGGTCCAGGTCCAGATATAGGTCCAGGTATAGATATAGGTCCAGGTCCAGATATAGGTCCAAGTCCAGATATAGGTCCAGGTCCTGATATAGGTCCAGGTCCAGATATAGGTCCAGGTCCTGATATAGGTCCAGGTCCAGATATAGGTCCAGGTCCAGATATAGGTCCAGGTCCAGATATAGGTCCAGATGTACCTGAAAGATAAACACATGTTAAGGATAGAAAAAATAATTACAAATACAAACAGGTTGAGCAGAGTAAGTAAAGACAGCAGCAGAGTGAAAAGTGTGGTCAGTTTGTCCTCCAGCAGTCTAAGCCTATAGCAGCAGAACTAAGGGACAGCTCAGGAAACCCAAGCCGACCCTAACTATAGGATTTATCAAAAAGGAAAGTCTTAATCCCAGTTTTAAAACTGGATAATGTGTCAGCCTCATGGACAGAGATTGGAAGTTGGTTCCACAAGAGAGGAGCCTGAGAACTGAAAGATCTTCCTCCCATTCTGTTTTTGTAAACTCTAGGAACCACAAGTAAACCTGCAGTCTGAGAGGGAAGTGCTCTGTTAGTAAAATATGGAACAATAAGATCTGTAATATAAGATGGAGCTAGGTTGTTGAGAGCTTTGTAGGTTAGAAGTAAGATTTTGAATTCTATTACAGAGAAAATCATAAAACTGAAGATGAACAAATGCTATAAATCTGTATGTATCCTTTATTTAACCAGGAAAAATAAGTTTGAGATTAAAAACCTCTTTTCCAAGAGTGACCTGGCCAAGACAGCAGCATAAAACATACAGTAAATCCAAAATACTAAACCAAATACGCAAAATACATATCACGTTCATATTACATATCATATTACATATCATACATATCAAGTTCTTCAAGTTCACATTGTTCAGACACGTTCTTCTCAATTCCTCATCTGTAGGAGATGAAACTAGACGTCTTTTCACAGGAACTCTTTTTGTTCTGCTCCGTGTTCAGACTCTGTTGTTGGAGCCACTGATTTCGTTTGGTCTGGTTGTTCTGCAGCCCTGAACACAACAGGTACCTGAACGCAGCGCGGCTACTTTAGTCAACTGTATGGTTGTTAAATACATGTGAAGAAAAGAAAAACAGAGTTTTATCTGCTGAACTGGATGTAAAGGACTTTCAAATAAACCGCGGTCCGTGCTCCACTGCCGTTAACCAGTGGTGACTGCTACTTCCTGTCTGACAGGAAGTTGTAGCATAATCTCTCATGGAGCAGAGCCCCCAGGGAGAAGGTGGATAAAGTTACGGCACTTTTGTGTGAATAAGATGATCGTTTCATCTGTCCTTGTGTTGAGCAATTCAAAGTTTTCACAGATTAACAAAGCATGGCGTCTTTCCTCAGATCTTTCTGGAATGATGTTTGTTTGTTTGTTATCAAAGAAGCATTTGGTTTCATCATTCCTGCTCAGAACCACAGCGGTTAAAAAACAAACTTCAAAGCCCGAGGTTTAAGACGCGAGTCTGCTTCTGACTCCAGATCTGCACGAATCCATGCGAGGACGCTTTCTTTTCCCCGTTCTTCTTCTTCATGCTCTTTTATTTGTTTCCAGGGAAACACCCAGTTTCTGCGCTCATCGAGTTATGCAACAAGAAACGCATCATGCAGCCAGACTTTGTTATGGTTCACCACAGCGGACCGGACCATCGCAAAAACTTCCTCTTCAAGGTGAGTTGCTTGAAGAATAGAAGTGTCACGTTTGATTGACAGGCTCCGTCAGACACACGTCAGGTTGTGACCAATGTTTGTGCACTTTCAACAAATCATGAATCAAAACGTTCGGCTCTTTCAGGACAGGCCTGCTGTGACTTTTGCTGTTGGTGCAACTTTAGCTGTTTGAAATATTTAGCCTTTTCTGACATTTTTTTCCCTCAGAAAATGAATTGAGCTCATTTTACCTCCTTCAGATCTTTAGATCTGTTTACAACCTTTTACTGCTTCTTTTACATTTCTTCTGCTTCGCCTTCTTTCAGCTTCCTTTTGATAATTTAAATATTTTTCCAGCTACTTTCAGCTATTTTCAGCTGTTTTGTGCTCCTTTCATCTTTTTTCTACAAGTTTCAGCATTTAGCTGTTTTATGCAAATTTTAACTTTTTCAGCTAATTACACATTTTTTGCACTCATTTCAACTTTTTTCAGCTTAATTCAACACAAATGTGCTCTCACCACTTCCTTCTTGTAATTTAAGCTTATTTCTGCCTTTTTAGCTTCTTTTCAGCTGTTTTTTTTTTGCTCATTTCAACTTTTTTTTCAGATAACAGCCGGTAGTGGTGACGTACTTCAGTTTAAATTTCAGCCACGGGCATCACTTCTGCTTGCCTCTTCCTCTTGTTTGTTTTTAGCGGTCGCTGCAAGAGTCGACACAGAAGTTAAAATATCTGTGCACCGTTGGTACAACAACAGATCTGTTGTGTGCCGTTGTGTCCAGTGAACAGCAGCTACAAGAGAGCGCTTAGTTTTTTCATTTTCCTGCTGATGCGGAGTCAAGGCGACAGTGGATCGTGGCTAACCGCACGTAAGACTTACCCATTAAAGCTAACACTCGGGTTTGTAGCCGGTATTTCAAACCTCAGGATATTCAAGAGTCAGCGTCAGAAACAAGAAGACGGCAGTTAAAAAGGACCTGTACCTGCATTGTTCAAGTGGAACAAGGTCTCCCTTCCACTTGTACGACCGGTGGTTTGGGAGAGAAGGTGAAGACGACAGAGTAGAACACACCAGAAGCAGACCTCAGTAAGAAACACGATTATGTGATTTGCTAGAAGTTCAAGATGATTGTCAGTGTTCGCTAAGGACTGAGAGGAACTCTCATCCATTCCTCAACGCACACCAACCCACACCAACCCTTACTCAACCAATACCAACCTATATTCAACCCATATTCAACCTATACCAACCCATATTCAACCCACACCAACCCATACCAACGCACATCAACCCATACCAGCCCATATTCAGCCCATACCAACCCATATTCAACCCATACCAACCTATATTCAACCCATACCA